AAACCCCCCCCCCCCCCCCCCCCCCCTCGGCCTTGTTTGCCATCGGGGTTTGGGTTTTCGTCGCTTGGCAACGACGTTGTAAAACAAGCCGCCCCCCCCGGTGTTTGCCATCGGGGTTGGGTTTTCGTCGCTTGGCAACGACGTTGTAAAACAAGCCCCCCACTCGGTGTTTGCCATCGGGATTGGGTTTTCGTCGCTTGGCAACGACGTTGTAAAACAAGCCAATTCACTTCGTGAACTCGGCAACCAGGTTACCGTTTTCTTTTTTACCTCGGTTTTTTTTTTTGGCGGTAACCAAAATGGTGGTCGAGTAGATCATGTTGTGCGGGGTCGAGAACCCTCACTCCGCGCAACGGGGGATGATCGCACCACGTTGTGTTAAAATGGTCAAGCTTCCTCGAGGCAGTTACACAGTGCTTACAACTGTCTGTGGAAGTGAAAGCACCAGAAAATAAACTAAGTCATACGTAGCTGTCATCCGTACGCAAGGAAGTAAGCCAAGATGCCGAACACCCTTAGCAGGATGCAGCTCACCCTTCATGCGACTCGCCAAATACCTCACGGCGCTTCGCGCTTGGTGATGTGAGAGCCTGGTCCGGTGAGAACCCGGCGTGCTCCGTCCCGGCTTTGTAGGGATGCGAGGTCAATGGTCAAACGACTACGGCATGCACGACTATGAGTACACCCCCCCCCCCGGTCCCACCCGAAGGCAGTGATTTCTTACCCCTCCAACAGCGGAACTCCTATCAGGATTCTCATGAAGGTGAGGACGTGGGCCGCCACGGGAGCTGACCCGGTTACCATCATCTGGATCCGATCGAGACCAAGAGCTGCCTGAGGAAGGACAAGAGCGGGGGGGGGCGACGCAGTCAGAAACGACAGAAGGGAACAAGAGAGCCACAGCAGTTGACCTGTGATATCATTTCTCACTGTCGGGCGGCCGCAAAATCAATCATGCGCTGTTGACAAGGCTCCGCCGTGATTGTAGTTGCCCTACGAAACTCGGTCGCTCCTTTCTCGGTGAAATCGAGACAAGTCTACAGTCACACCGCAATTTAGCTGCTGCTGCGTTTCAGCACACAGGTCAACAAGAGTACCAACACAAGGCTGTTCTCCAGTTGAGCCGATGGTTCACCCACACGGAAGCAGGGGGCCCTCTTGGCTACCGGGTGTGATACCATCAAACAAGACCACGAAGAATCACGCCTCGTGCGCTCACCTTGATCTTGCCGAAGACGAGCTTATCCCACAGGGCATGCGTCAGGCGGCCCTCGTGCAGTCCTTGCACCTTCCGAAGACAAAAAGACACGCGAAACGAAGGGAAAAGGATAAAGCAACCCCCAAGACCGCGGTCAAAAATCACGCGATTGGTGTGACTGGAGAGGTATACCCAACGGGGGAACCGTGCCGACATGAACAAGGGCATCTAAATCGATGCAACAGCTCTGCGACCAAAAAACGGAAACGAGGGGGACACGAACACAAGCTTGTGGCGTAAACATCGTTTCTCAAATTCCCATCTTCTCCTCAAGTGAGGGACGCTAAGCCTATAAGGCCGGCACACTTTAGAGGTACGAACTTCTAGAACATCGTTCGGCAGCGCAAATACTGCCGCAGCCGGGACAGACTACACAAGCAAAAGAACAAACGGTTTCGATGGAATACAACAAACTGCATGATTCCTGGAGATATCCATTCGCAGTCCGGGGTACACCCTTCGATAACCACGCGCAAAACAAAGCTGCAGCCTTGGTTATGTCACTTGACGCCATTACCCCTTCCCTTTCCCCGCCCCACCTTGGCCTCGCAAGCCTTGACGAACAGCTTGGTCTTTAGGCCCCCCGCGGCCAGCATGCCTTGCACGATCTTGTCGTGCAAGCGATTGAGGACCCTCGGAACAGCCGCCATGACGGTCGGTCGAAGCGCCTGAGACACCACAACCAAGGACGCCAGCCAGTGACGGTTTTTTCCACGGTTTTTCCCACGGTTTTTTCCGCCCACAACATGATCGGGCACACGGCGCGAGGTACAAAAGGAGTCGTACATAGAGCAGGAAGGGTTCCAGCTGGAGAGAGAGTTTTCTTGTCTTCGAGATGGTTGGGAAAATCAGCGACCAGGGGAGCGGCGAGTCCCCTGCCGGGCAGCCCATTCCGTATCAGAATAAATGAATCGAGTATCACACATTTTCTTCCGACATATTTGGTGACCCCGTGGAATGACGAGGGGAGGTCCATGGTATCAGGAGGGTCTGAGTGGGGTGAGGAAAGGGTTTCTGCTGCTTGTGTACTAGTCAATACACGGTGTACTTGAAAGCAATGAGTCGCCGACACAACACGCATGTGACCCATTCACTACTTCCACAATTTCCAGCAAAAGGGCGCGTGAGGTGGCACCGTTGCAGGGGGCACAAAACACCAAACTGCGCGCACGGCTGCATTGCATTCGCTGCTTCCCTGGTTTTCAGGATATGTACCTGTTGGATCAGCGTGTGAGAAACGTGCGGAGACTGCCAAAACTGCAGACAAATAGGCCCCAAATGGCAGCAAGGGTATGACCAAAGGTCAATCAACCACGTGGTTACCTGCATGTCTTCCACCAGCAGTGTAGGGTCGCCCCGGAAAATGCCCACAGCCGCACCTACGTTGAGAATGGCCACCTTGTCCAGCAAACACAACACACCATCGCCGCCGAAACACATCGAGTGAGCCTCACACACGCATTTTTCTGTATACCTGGGACTCAAAATGGAAACACAAAGGGTGGCAGTGGCACTACAAGACCCAGAAAACATCTTGGAGAAGACAAACAAAGGCAGCAACAAACCCCAAAACACTTCCAAAAGCAACCCCCCCCCCCCCCGATACCTCCCCTGCCTGGTCGTGAAACCAACCATCTTCCGGCCCCCCCTGAAGGGATACCGGGCCACCTGTTTGCAGTCTACCGCCATGCGTGGCTGTGAACACACTCCCCCTACCAACACGCACACACACCACGTGCATCCCTTGGTCACCTAACGCCATGCGTGGCCATGAAAAACACTACAAGCTCCTCCCTTCCTCACACCTGCACCATCCGCTCGAAGATGTGGGGGAGCGGCAGGTACGAGAGGTACACGTCCGTCGAGTCGGCGTTGAAGGTCTCCATCAACTCCGCGGCCGCCGAGTCCGCGATGAAGTTGCGGTGGGTCAGCAACGCCCCCTTGGGGTTTCCGGTCGTTCCCGACGTGCTGGAGGGGGGGGGGGGGGGGGGGGGGGGAAAAATTCTTTCTTGGTGGGGGGGG